ATTCGACGCAGTTTTTCACCGCCTCGTTCACGAGCCAGCAGGTTAGCGACGCACCGATTTTGATGATTCCAGCTTGAGCGCATTTATTTTAGTGTGCTTGTATCGTTTGTGGCTTCCACATTGAAATCTTTAAAGGTTTTAAGATTTGCATTCTTGAGTTTCATACTCTCGTTTTGACCAGTTTTTTAAAGTTTGATCGTCATCTGAAGAGTCTCATTAATACTTTCAGGGAAGAAGAAATTCATAGTCGTTTCTTCAATATGACTTCGTCACCGCGACGAACGTTCATACTATTCTATGCAAAAGATGGAAGTTCCATGTTGAAATCGCAGAATATGGACGAACTATTACGTATTGATGCCATATTAAGGAAACAAATTGAATTGATCGATGAAAGAAGCGGAGAGAAGATTTGTGAACCGTTATGTCGCATCAATAGACCATTTTTCATTTTTTGGGTGCGTTCATCAATGTGATGATATGATACGTGATGATTATTCCTTCGATGATGTGATTGATACGTGGGGATTTCATCGATCACTCGTTATGATTATCAGAGATCAGCTCAATTGAGATCAGATAAGACAAGATATGACAAGAAGTAAGATAAAGTAACTCCATAATGAAAACTCAGCAATGGAAGAAGCATGAGCAATTGAACGAAAATCAAACAAAGCATTCCGTTAATTGTGAATTTACTATCCAAAAAAAGTTGAAACAATAGTGTACATGACACTTTTGCTTCGCAGACGCTTGTTTCAGCAATCAGAAATAAAACGCTGTTTGGTTGATAGCCTTAACGCCAGCCTCAAGTAATCTTTAAGTATTCGAGCTGAAAGAACTCACCAGTTCACTCGAAAATCGTTAACTATGCTCATTTCTAAAAATTATGTGAAAATCAATATTCATTATCTGCATTATGATATATTGAACACATCCCTCAGATACATCCAATCGCTGGTAGTATGAGCACAAGAGCTAGTCATAACGATCGATATACATTGATAGATTAGTCGGTATTTGATGTTCGTTGTTCACAGTTACACTCCAGTCATCATTCAGTGATACGCATAATTACTCAGGTTTTAGGATGAACTCAAAAAAGCACAGAGCAACATCATCGGGAATGAATCGGATTCAGATTTTGTTTTCGACTTTCCAACAGCCATCCTTTTCGGACATGAAGTTTTCGTTGGAATGAATATGTTCGGAGTGCGTACTGCAGGTGAACACCCTTAAATTTTCCATCAATACAATTCGACTGCTCCATTATTGGATTACATAGTTTTTCATTCACTAATTAATCAGTCACCGAATCAAAAACTGATTCGCTTCTAGCAGTTTGAGTGTTGCTATGTGTTTCACAATTGAACGCATTGAATTCGTTAATATTGTATTTGCAGAAAATCATTTTCGAGTAGCTGCATCAAAACAGTCGTCAAATATTGGGATATTGTTTTTAAACATGCAGAAGCGAACTTATAAGCGTGTAATCTTTTTTTATGATCAAATGATGAATTGATTCAGTTCGGGATGAATGGAGAGAGAACATTTGGATAATTCAGATGAAATGTTCGCGAATCGCTCGACCATCACGCATGTGACGACAGTGGTTCTCTGGTACTTCTCGCAAGAAAGTAATCCTCGAATCAAGGGAATCATCGATGAGACTGCGCTGGAGATGTTCGAGATGAGTAAGGCCCGTAACGCATCTTCACTGATACAGTTCGATATATTCGGCGATCATATTGCCAATAAAGAAATGCTGCGCGGTGCATTGGAGGTAATTATCTTCGCTTCATTAATCCTTTCTTTCGTCTTATCACTATCAACATGAGGTCGTTGTTGGCGATAAATTGAGGCATTGAGGTTGACTGCTGTTCATCTGTGGCTCTGGACTGCTTGATCAGCTGAATCAGCATAACTTTGTTTTGAGCCTACCTAGCTGGTAATACCCTCCCTATCAGCTGAGAATCTCGAATAATCCCATCTCACTGTACGATGGTTTCTCTCGCAGCTTCATTGAGCGACAGTGAGGAGTCACCGTTTTCTCGCAGCCACACTAATTTTCCAGACTTTCTGTGAATCACACGGAATTACTATATCGTATTGCCTTAATGAGACAAATTTTAAAAATTCCTGCAAAAATAATGAATAAAAAGATCTTTTGAAGGCGACTAGACTGATGCTGACTGGTTTCTTCTTGCTGCTCATATTTGTATTTACTGTTGTTTGGCATAAAATGTCGCTGAGCAGAAATCTGCCGAAAGTTGTGTTTGCGACCATTTTGTCGCCATTCTTGGCCGCAGCAACTGCGTTTGGGATTCTATCGTGGCTACGTTTCACATTCTATGCGATCATGTGCGTCACACCATTTCTCATCCTTGGAATTGGTAATCATTCACTTCGCATTCGCATTCGCATCTCTTTGATAATCTCTACTAAACAATCTCAGTGCATCCTTCAAGACGGCGAAAACGAGAATTGTGCACGAAACAATTCACATCTTCAATTCATTAGGCGACGATGACGTTTTTTAATTTAGAATATTCGTATGTCAAAGACATGGATTATTCGTATCTAACAGTTTCATGCTAAAACTTTTCTATGAGTGCAGTTACGCTTGCAGTGGGAAATTCTCGGCTAAGGTGAATGACTCGACTGATGAGATAAAAAATAAAACTAACCTTTGGATGACTGAGAGTGAAAGAGAATTCGCGAAGAAATTCAAGCAGAAACTGCAGATGAATATGAAAAAAAATTCAAGTGAGCTGATGAAAATCTAAAAAGCAATCAAAATGAATAACTTTATGGCCATTATAAACAGGTGTTGATGATGCCTTCATAATGCTCCAATCGTGGACACAGTATCGCACAATCAGATGCAAAAAGGAGCGTTTAGCGAAAGTTTTCATTGAGATAGGTCCATCAATTAGCATCACATCGTTGACGAATTGCATCGCATTCGGTATCGGCTATTTCACACCTACACCTCAGGTGATCGTTGTTTATCTCAATTACAGATTTATAGTTAATATTCTACAATAAATTATGTGAATTCATCATTGTTCATGTGATGCGTGATAAAATATCACTATGAATCTGTTTAATTCTTCCTGAAAATTTCCTGAATTCGAAAACGAACAAGCACAGCAGAGTTGGTGGAATTGATGAAGGTTTTCAAGAATGCGGAATATTTTGGTTGAATGGATTTGTTTCAGCTGATCATTTGGTGTTTTGCAGATGAGTATGTTCTGTTTGTGCACCTCGGTGGCATGCTTCCTCGATTATATTCTAACATTCACATTGTTTGCACCGATTCTCTTGTTGAGTGACGACGAGGCGAGTAACAAATATATGAGTGCCGAGAAATTATCATTTCAACAACAGGTTCCGTCCATTTTATTTTATTATAACTCTCTTTTGCGTTCGCAGTTTGTTCACATCTTACACATTATTGATAATATAATGTAATTACATTTGAAAGGAGAATTTTTTAGCTTGCAAAACACCCGAATATTTTCGAAATTTTTGTTCCAATGTTAGACAATCAAACTGTGAAATGATGAGAGCATAAGGGAAAGTGAGATTTGAACAAACGCAAGAGTTGAATTGAACTCGATA